AATAAACAGGGACCACTAAGTTTTACAGGCTGGCCTCAAATTTGTGATCCTTCTTCCTCAGCTTCCCAAGTATTTGGGATTACAGTCTACTTGCGTCATCACACACAGCTGTTAGTGATTTCTAATTTGTTTCTGTTGTACTTTAATACTTGACATACTTGAATCCTACTAAATTGTTTTGTGACCCAGTATATGGTATATCTTGGTAAATGTTTCTCATGTACTTGCTGCTGTTAGGTGTTATGTTCTATAAATGTCAGTTAAGTCAAGTTGGTTATTTTGTATCCTTACTGGTTTTCTGAGAACTCCACCTAATGCCCTGAGCCTTCTGAGGTTTTCTATTCTATTAGGAGAGAACAGGAATTATTATCAAATCTGTGCAACGTCTGTGGATCATTTTCTCTAATCCATTTGGGTGGTTCTATTCTTAGCCACACATACTTTCTTCACATAACATGTACTGATCAGTACTCAGCTGAATACTTGAAAGTGTCCTCTGCAGATTTCCCATGATATCTGTCTATCTCTCTCTCTCCCACCCTCCTCTTCATCACTCTGCAGTCTCAACTCCAGCCACTTTGGCCTTCCTGAATTCCTAGTTCTACTTCATCAGTTCTGGGAGACCATCATCCTCTCTGCCTGGATTCCCTCTCCTATGTCTCAGCCTAGGAACTTTTTCTGGCAGTAGGTCATTACTTAATGTTCAGTGTCTTAAAAACTATATATATACATACACACACACACACACACACATATACACACACATATATATTTATAAATACATATTTATTAAATATTTTTAGTTGTAAATGGACACAATACCTTTATTTATTTATTTATTTATTTATTTATTTATATGTGGTGCTAAGGATTGAATCCAGTGCCTCACACATGCTAAGGAAGCGCTTTACCACTGAGCTACAACCCCAGCCCTCTTCCATATATTTTGAACAGTTTTTAGTTAGTTTAGTCCCTGATATTCCATCTTGCTTGGAAGCAGGAACCCATTTTCCTGATACTTTTTCATATATTTCATAACTTTTTGTGTCATATTTGGAATAATGTTCACTGTGATCACTTCTCTGTCCACATGGAGTTCAGAGGTTCTGTTGTTGATTTTCTATAAGCAGCTGCCTTCCCCTGTATTGGGTATTATCAGATTCTTTATCTAGATTCTCTCAATCTCATAGAAACAATAAAAGCTAATGGTTTATTAAGTGCCTCCTGTGCAGCAAGCATGCATTAAGGGTTTTAAATGTATTACCTCATTTAATCCTTATGGTACCCTGTGAATCAGTCATTAACTTCATTACAAATATGAGATAATTGAGATGGAGAAGTTAAGTAGTTTGCCCAAGGTCACACAGGAGGTGACATGGTCAGCTCTCACACTCAAGTCCAACAGACTCAGAGCCCACTGCTTCCTAGAGAGTACCGCAAAGCCCATGGTGCTCATCTGAGGTTATTTTGCTGAGTACAAGAAGACCACTACTAAAACCAACTCAAAAAGATTCTTCTTATGTGTTCTGGCAATAACAGTAAGCATTTTACAACATCTAAGGAAGGAAAAATACTAGTACAGCTAGAAAAAAATCATTTTGATTGAAGTTCTGTCAAGTGACCGGAAGAAAAAGAATTGAGTGCAGTTCTTTAGATAATAGAAGAAGAATGTAATTTTAGAAATGCTGAGTCAAGAGGGTAGAGGAAGGGGCTGGTGTGTAGCTCAGAGGTAGCATGTAGGAGACCCTGACTTCCATCTCCTCCACCACGGGGCGGGGGTGGGAAGGTGAGGGGTTGGAGCCAGGGCTGTGGCTCAGTGGTAGAATACTTGCCTAGCATGTGTGAGGCACTGGGTTTGATCCCTGGCACCACATACAATAAACAAATAAAATAAAGGTATTGTGTCCATCTACAACTACAAAAATATTTAGAAAAAAATTTTTCTAAATATTTTTGTGAGGGTAGAAGAGGGGAAAAGGAAGAAATTATTCTGAGATGATATGATTTTGGAAGGTGCTGGAGCAGTGCAGAAGCATGTGTTGCTATCACTGCAGCCTTTCATTCCCTTCCATAAGAACCAAAAAATGAACTCAAAATAGAGCAGGAAAGGAATGTTTAGTGTCAACCATTGTTGCCAAGTTAAAATGTTTTGAATTGATTCCAAGTGCCATAGCACAGTACAATATTAACATTTTATATATATTTTTTAGAAATTTGTTCTACCTTCATTTTTATAAATGTATGAGCATTTTTTAATTTTTTGTAATATCCACATTTTTAAATGTTTATAACCTTTCTTAGAGTGTGAAGGGAATGTCTTATAGTAGTTGAAATATTTTTTTTAAGTTAGTGTTATGGAAATTTCTAGAACATCATCCTTATTTTTTGTATAACACCATTCCCTGTTGGAAAAAACAGTAGAATATGAAGTCTGAGATTTGAGAAGTCAAGATCTAAACTTATTTTGCCACTGGCCTGAGGGATTACAAATGAATAACTATAAGATCAGGCACAAGATTACCTCACTGACCTGTGGAGAATTTTCAGTAATAATTATAAATGAAACTATGTCAGGACGTTTGAAGTGGTGGCAGTAAATGTGGCAGGAAAAATGTAGTTTATTCTTCTAGAATTCCCTGCGGGTCTCTAGAATTTTTTAGGTATTCTTAAAATTTAGGAATTCTTAGAATTTTTTAAGAGGAGTCAGTTTAAAAGTATTAGTGATCTTCCTCCTCCCCCTCTCCTCTTCCCTCTCTCCTCCTCCGTTCTTCAGTTGTAGGTGGACACATTACCTTTATTTTATTTATTTATTTTATGTGGTGTTGAGGATTGACCCAGTGCCTTGTATTGCCACTGAGCCCCAACCCCAGTCCATCCCTCAGTTTTCTTTGTCCTGCACTCCCTTGACAGACAACTATGCTTGTGTAAATATTATTTATATTTAATATAGCACAAATGGTGCTGTAGATAAATACATTTTGAACATCCAATACTACTTTAATTAATATGCCTTTTAGCTATGGTGGGTAATATACCTTGAAACTCAGATTAGAAAAATATATATTTTCCTGTGTAACACTGCACAGGGGACTTTTCCTTTTGTGTCAATATACCTGTTTATCATTTAGTTATACCTGTTTATTATTTAGCATATAGTTCTATGACATTAAGTAAACTTCACAGTGTTGTGGCACTGTCCTCATTATCCATCTCATCTTGCAGAAATGACTTCCCATTACTCACCGCAGTTCCTGACAATCACCTTTCTACTTTTTGTCTCTATGATTTTGACTCCTTTAGATATCTCATATAAGTGGAATTATGGGGTTTATTTTTTTGTGACTGGCTTATTTCACTTAGCATACTGTCCTCTAAGTTCATTCTTGTGGTAACATTGTCGGAATTTCCTTCCTTTTTAAGACTGAGTAATATTCCATTGTATGTATGTACCAATTTTATTTGTCTTTTCATCTGTTACTGGACACTTGGGTTGCTTCCACCTTTTGGCTGTTGTAAATACTACTACTGTGAACATTGGTTTACAATTTTCTATTCTAGTCCATGCTTTTAATTCTTTGGGGTTTCTACCCAGAAATGGAATTGTTGGATTATATGTAACTCTGTTTAATTTATTAAGAAAACACCATACTACTGTTTTTCCACACCAGCTGTACTATATACAGTAACATTAACAGTGTACACAATGGTCCAGTTTTCCACATCCTCATCAACACTTAATGAAAATAGCCATCCTAATGAGTATAAAATGGTATATCATGGTTTTTTGATTTGCACTTTCCCAATGATTAAAGATGTTGGGATCTTTTCATGTGCTTCTTGTCCATTTATATATCTTCTTTAGAGAAATATCCATTCAGGTTCTTTGCCCTTTTTGTGTTGTTGTTGTTGCAGGGTTGGGAGGATCCTGGGGATTTAACTTAGGGCCACTTGACCACTGAGCCACATCCCCAGCCTTGTATTTTATTTAGACACAGGGTCTCACTGAGTTGCTTACCACCCTTGCTATTGATGAGGCTGGCTTTGAACCCACAATCCTTCTGCCTCAGCCTCCCAAGCCACTGGGATTTCAGGTGTGCACCCTGCACCTGGCTGCCTATTTTTTAATTGGGTTGTTTTTTATTGTTGAGTTTTAAGCGTTCTTTATGTATTCTGGATATTAATCCCACATCAGATATATAATTTGCAAATACTTTCTCTCATTCTGTGGGATCCTGTCATTTTATTGTCCATTGATGCATAACAATTTTTAATTTCGATGGTCCAATTTATTTTATTTTAACTTTTTAAAAATTTTTTTTGGTACCAGTAATTGAACCCAGGGGTGCTTATCCACTGAGCCACATCCCCTTCCTTTTTTATTTTTTTATTTTGAGACAGAGTCTCGCTAGAACCTCAGTAAGTTGCTGAGGCTGGCTTTGAATTCAGGATCCTCCTTCCTCAGCCTCCCAAACCACTGGGATTACAGGCATGCACCACCATGCAAAGCTATTTTATTCTTTTGTTGCCTGTTGTCAGTCAGTATTTAACAATAAAAAGTGAAAGATACTAATAAATATTTCTTCTCTGTTTGAAACATATTTTACTTTTGATTGTAAAAATGATCTCTATCCTCTTGTAACATGCATGCATGAACAGACAGTCCTGTATAATCAAATAAGTAAATTAACATTTTGAAACAGTTCAATTTTAGGTGCTTTTCCTGTTTCCAGACATTTTTTTGAAGCAAGCAAACTAGCTAATGGTTTTTAATTTTTTTCTAGCTAAATGCAGATAATGAAAGAGAAGAAGGAGAAGAGTTTGAAGACAATATGGATGTTTTTGATGACAGTAGTTCCAGTCCTTCTGGTACCTTAAGAAATTATCCACTCACCTGCAAAGTTGTTTATTCCTACAAGGTTTGTATTAAGATATTGCTGATATTAAATTGTGACAAACCTAAAGATACATGTGACTGTGTCTACCCAGCTTCTCACAGGACGCCTAGCATAATGTTAGTATTCAGTTAATATCTAAAGCAATGAAACATAATGATGAAGAGTTTAAACTCTGATATTAGATTGCTTGAGTTAAATCCTGTCTCACTGCTTATGAACTACATGAGCTTACACTAGTCAGCCTCTTAATTTCTATGAGCCTCAGTTTCCTTATCTACATGATGGGGATAATATTGTAAAATAAATGTGAAGATTAAATGAGAGATTACCTTATAGCAAAGCACTTGGCATAGTACCTAGTTCAGTAAATACAGTATATTCAGTAAATACAGCTCTTACCCTTACTCTCTATTGCCTGCTTGGCATAAACCCTCCATTAGAATGAACCTCAAAATTCATATCAAAAGAAAATTTCACAAAGCAGTTTTTAATACTTTGCCTTTACTCATCCTAATATAATTCCCTCTTGTCCATATTGAGCAGGAAATCTGGATTAACAGATGCCAGAATTTCCAAACTTGGTTTGGTATAATAGTTCTTACTCTCTCTCATCCTTTCCTGCTTTTCCAATTACTTTATATTCAACACAAAGTAAATGGTGTTTCAATTTTCCAGTTCCTTTCTTTCCCTCACTCCCACATCCAGTCTGTCAGCCAGTCCTGTTGTGCCCACTTCCAAAACATATCCTGAATCTATCTACTTTTCACCATATTTACTGCTCTCATCTTTGTCTAGGCCGTTGCTTTCATTGTTATAAGATGGGGATGAGCCCTCATAATTAGGCTTCTTTGACACTAGCTTCCCAACAATCCATTTTCCAGCTAGAATTATCTTTGACACATAAAGGAGTTAATTCCATTCCCTTTTCTAAAAAAAAAAAAAAAAAAAAAAACTTTTTAAGCTTTAAATGTTAATTCCATTCCTTTTCCTAAAAAATCCTTCCCAGCCCAAACTCTTCACTGGGATCTGTAATGTCTAGCCTGATCGAACTCCAGGCATTCTCCCCAGCTTTATGTCAGGCCATTCCTCCACTTCACATACTCAGTACATTGGCCCACTCTGGCTGCCTTTCTGGCTTCAAAAATACCAGGTTCCTTCCTGAGTACACATCTTTGCACTTGTTGTTCCCTCTGATTAGAACTGTGTCTCCCAATATCTCTGTTGACTGCCCTTATCTTCATTGTAGTTCAACTCAAATAACCTCCAAAGGTCACCTTAGCCACCTAAACACATAGCTCTTTACTACTCTATCCCATAACACTGTTTTGTTCATCATACTGATGTTCATCATCTGTCACTCAACTACGGAAATATGTTCTGAGAAATGCAGCATTTGGTGATTTTATCGTCATTCAAACATTGTAGAATGAGCTTATACAAATCTAGATGGTATAGCCTAATAGACACCTAGCCTGTGTGGTAGAGATATATTATTTCTGTTCATCAGACCATGACAAACAAAACAACATGAGATTAAATCAAGCACAAGATAAACTCATGCAATCCAGAGATGCAATAAACATGACATGTACAAGGCTACTGTTGGCCAGCATAAATTGTTTTACAGTAAACTTTTTCTTTTAGTAAGTAGAGGATTACACACCAAAATAATGATTAAAAAGTATATTAAATATAAACTAATACCTAGTTGTTTATTATCATTATCAAATATTATATACTATACATAATATGGTGGATTTGTTTACACTAGTGATGCCACAGACATACAAATATATGTTATATTATGATATCATGATGGCTACAATGCTATTTTTTAATTTTTCATCTCCATTTTAATTTTATGGGACCACCATATATGTGTGATCCAGTGTTGACCAAAATGTCATTATGTGGTACATGACTGTATAGCTCTTAGTGCCAGCCAGATTAAGTCTTACTTGTCTTCATATTTCTTTGCCTGGTTCCCCATTAAAGGCTTATGAAAGTATAAACTTTGTGTCTGTACCTTTTCTGTGTCATGAGCTCCTGGGACAATGCCTGGCACACAGTGGGTCTTGTGAAATTAATAAATGAATGATGTAAGGAAGGCATGAGCAAATGAATCCTTCTCTGGCCCCTATACTAATAGAGAAAGCAAGGGGAAAGGTTAATGCTAAGGGATAACAACAGAGGGACTGTTCTGAGAGACTATTTAACTGTCATACACTGGGCAGTCTCACTCCACTCCCCAGTCCTGTGTTGCCAAAAGCTGGCATTATATACTTTTCAATATCAGCTATTCCTGGGTTTTTTTGAGTTTAACTTCATTTCATTATATTTAAATTCATAATACTTACTGTTTTCTTTAAAAAGTTAGGGTTTTTTCCTAGTATACATTGTTTTGATAATGTTTTGAAAATTTGAAATCATCTTCTAAGAAATTTGGGGATATTTTAAAACTAGGGTTCAGAATGTTTTCTAATATCACCTCTCCTTGTTATATTTACTTGAAAGTTTCAAAACTAATTAAGGTCCTTACATGGAGAGAGTTCTAAGTGTCTAAATTGTTTTAAACAGCTAACATTCAGGATGGGGTTGTGGCTCAGTGGCAGAACGCTCACCTAGCACGTGCGAGGCCTGGGTTCAATCCTCAGCACCACATAAAAATAAATAAATAAAATAAAGGTATTGTGTCCAACTACAATTAAAAAATAAATATTAAAAAAAAAAACAACTCACATTCATCCATTGATCTATCACAGTACCTCCATTGATCTATCCCAGATACGTCTCTGTGAAACCAGACTATCAGAATCTATTTAGGGCTGAGTGCAGTGGTGCATGCCTGTAATCCTAGCAATTCAGTAGACTGAGGCAGGAGGATCGTGAGTTCAAAGCCATCCTCAGTAATTAGCGAGGCCCTAAGCAACTCAGTGAGACCCTATCTCTAAACAAAATATAAAAAGGGGCTGGGGATGTGGCTCAGTAAACACCCCTGGGTTCAATCCTCAATACAAAAAAAAAAAAAAATCTATTTAGTCAGTTAATCACTGAGCTAAAACTGAGTGCACAATATATGATAACTTTTGTGATGTAAGAATTAATATGACACTATCCCTGCCTTCCAGGAATAGACAGACTACAGAGTAGTTAAATAAATTTTACAGACAAGATGGCATTTAAATTAAATCATAATCTAGACTTTTCTAGGTAGAGAGAGGATAGGGAAAGGAAGGATCCTTCTAAGCAAAGGGAACAGCAGATATGAGAGGATAGGGTGTTGAGAACAGTTTACTTTTGGATGTGTAGGAGCACTGAGAGGTGGGGAATAACAGAAGATCTGAAGGCATTTGCTGTCAGATAATAAAGGGCCTTGTATACTAGGCTCAGGGTATTGGTTTTTATTCCGGACTTTAAGGAGATAACTCTGGTCTTTGTGTAGACACTCAGGAGGATAAATTAGAATAGAGAGAGATCAGCTGGGCATAGTGGCCTAGGCCCATAGTCCCAACTACTTGGAATGGCTGAAGCAGGAGGAAGATGGCTTGAAACCGAGGTGTTCAAGACCATCCTCATAGCAAAACTCCATTGCAATGAATGGAAAAAAGAGAAAGAGACTGACTTTGAGCCTAATCATGATTTCTGTGGCCTACACCAATAAAAAAGGACTAAATGAACCTGGTGAGAACACAGAAAAGCTATATTTAATATTCAGATTCAAAAGCTTTAAAAGTATTCCTAACTTTTAACCTTATTAATATCCACACTAAGGAAATGAGCCACAATATAGAAAATGTTTTAGATACAAAATATTCTTTCAGGGTTTGGGATATAGTTCAGTGGTAGAGCGCCTACCTAGCAATGTGTGAGGCCCTAGGTTTGATCCCCAGTACTGCAACAACACAAAAGTGTTCTTTCATTATCTTCTACTTTATAATAGCTCACAGTTTGCTATGGAGTTCTGTAACAGACTGAAACATATTAGGACTTAAGGAGACATTGTGAGACCTTGCATATATTTAATAGCCATTGACTGACCACTTGCTGCCCATAGTTAGAATAAATGAGAAATACAGTCCCCGCCTTAAGTCATTCTAATAGGGAACTCATAAGGACTAGCAGCAAGCTAGAGCACCATGGTAGTCAGTGTGAGATGGACTCATGGAGTCTTAATGAAAGGAAGAAGCAACTGGCTCATTGCCAGTGGTCTGAGAAAGAGAGCTGGGCCACAAGTCATGAGAAGCTACTGCTTCTTTGTTCATTTCAATCTCTTCAATAACCCTACAAAGAAGATATTATCAGAAAACACCATTTATTCAACAAACAATTACTTGAGCATCTCTGTATACAAATACTTTGCTCTTTCTAGGCTCCGTGATGTAGCACTGATCAAAATAGACAAAAATCTGTCTTTATGGCACTTATGTTCTGGTAGAAAAAAAAGAAAGAAAGAAAACTGAGACTCAGATGGTCTCTTGCCCATAGAAACAAGACTGAAACTAGACTTTTATACCTATAATAATCTAATCCATTCATCAGACAGGAAAACTGGAACAGAGCAGGCCAGACAAAAGGAGCAGCCGGGTATAAGCATAGAAGCAAGAGAGACATGGTGCACCTAGACCATAGGGAAGAGTGTGCTGGTTCAGGGTACCCCGAGGCTCAGGGGACCAGACTCTAGGTCTTGATTGCCATGTAGAGGACAACCTTGTGCAACAGTTGTCATTGGTGTGTGGCATCGGCACGGTCATGCTAGTGTCTGCTTCTGCTAGAAGACTCCTGCTGCACTGGGCCTCAATGGCTATTGCACAAGGACAGCAACATATCCTCTTTGCTCTCACACAGGGTAGAGACTAGTCTGGTTGTGTTGAGACTTTTTAAGTCTTGGCATGTAATTTAGGAAAACGGCTTTACTACAGAAGTACCTTTTACTGGTATATTCAGGACACAGTGTGGTTTCAGAGTAGCAAAGAAATTCCATTGAAAAAGCTATCAAGAGTAAATGTGGACCAACACTAATTATCTCATTCAACAATTTATCCAATGCTTAAATCCTGAAATTGTCCATATTTACCTCCTGTTGACTAATGATCTTGGCAGTGTCACATGGCCCTCTTGTATGCTGTCTTTTTTGTAGGATGCTGTTTTTGTATATGCTGAATTATATAAAAAATATCATATAAAAAATATCCTCCAAGCTATTTGGCTTTTTTTATTTCAAAACAGTAATAACTTACCTATCACTCTTCAGACTAAATGTTATAAAACATCTTCTTTTTTTAATAGAGAATCTTTATCATATAAACGTAACTCATTTAATTCCAATTTTGAATTGCATTAAGCCTGATTTTTCTTTTTTACAAAGAATGCTGCACGTCCACATCCCAATAAATAATAAAGAACTAAATTATTTTCCTCAAAAAAGAATAATTGAGGCCAAAATTGACTCTACTGCCGTGTATAACTATAAAGAACAAATTTTTAAAAAGAGACAATTTCTATCTGGTCCCCTCTCATCCTGCAGGAGTTCTGTCTCTTTTCTTTTCAATTAAATAAATCCTCTTTTACACTTAAAAAAAGTAAATAAGTGGGTTTCATATATTGACATAAGAGGTAATTTACTTAAAATCTGGTCCTGGAGTGGCTGGGGATATAGCTCAGTAGTAGAGTATTTGCCTACATGTGTGAGGTTTTGGGTTCAAACCCTAATGCTGAGGGGAGAAAATCTAGTCTTATAGTATTCTCTGATTTATCATCCATTTTCAAGACTGTTTTTGTCTTAAGGAGCTATGGTAGCATCAGAATCTGGGTTTTGATGAAATGTTTAAAGCTTGCGAAATGTGAAGTGAATCTTAGAAACTGACTAACTAACTTTCTTGCCCAATTTTCGCTTGTGTAACTTGGAGATATTTTACACTTTGAAATTGTGAGATTTGAAAAACTATATGGTCTCAGTTGACAATTTTAACTGATCTTGGGACTTGGGGGAAGCTTTTAAGGCTTTTACTAGAGAGCCAGAAGATACTCACAAGCCCACCTGTTAATACGACATACAGGGCTGGGGATGTGGCTCAGTGGTAGTGCGCTCGCCTGGCATGCGTGCGGCCCGGGTTCGATCCTCAGCACCACATACCAACAAAGATGTTGTGTCTGCCGAGAACTAAAAAATAAAT